TCCAGAGCTGGCTGGGCGGCTGCCTCCTAGTGTCAGGTGAGGGGCCTGCGGGGAGGGGACACCGGGAGGTCTCCGGGGCGGCGGCTCGACGGCGTGCACCGGCGCCTCCCCAAGCCTGCGCGGGGACCCTGACCCGCCGTGGTGCGGCTTCTCGACCCGATGTACCCTCGGGGACCCGGAGGCCGACTACGACGCCTGGACCCCTTGAGCGGACCCCGTAGGCACACTGAAAGTGACTAGGTACCTGGGCAGGCCTCCCATTCAGCCCTCAGCATCCCAAGATCTGAATTCTGCTCCTCAACTCTCCAGCCCTGTGGCTTCTGAGTTCTAAGTCCAGTGAAACCCTTTGTCCTGCCCTAAATTGCCTGCCCAGGTTCAAACAAGATGGTCCCCTCCTTCCTTTCTGATGAACTTATCGCTGGCCTTCCAGGATACCTCTGGGGTGTTCCTCCTACTGTCAGGCTGTTTCTACCTAGGGTGCTCCACCTGTACCAGGTCGCCATAGCGCCAAGTTCATGTAGAAGCCCTCTTCTTTCCTTCCCCTACACTATCCCTTTGGGAAGTGGCAGCCGAACTCTGGCATTAAATACTAGCTACGTTCTCGTGACTCACATTTTTATCACTGTTGGCACTAGTTAGGTGATGAGCTCATGGTGGTTTATTATATTCTTCTCTCTCCTTTTGTGTACGTTTGACACTTTCTATTTAAAAATTTAAAAATGATTTCTATCTCTAGCCTAAATCTGTCCTCTGTGCTCCAGGCTCGTTCATCCGTCTGCCTCTGATTCCCACTTGCACATCCTTCAGCATCTCAAACCTAATGCAGATCCTAAAATGGGACTCTTGGTTTCCCTATTCCCAGCCCCAATCAGGGCATCAGGTGCTTAAGTCAGGAATGGATATTAACTTTTACTTCTTCACTCCAGGTGTATCAGGAATTCTACAGTTTTATACCTCTGGAAATATATCTAAAATCCATCTACCCACCCCCTCACATCTTCTCCCACCACCCAAATCCAGGTCACCCTCATCCATCCCCACTTCACTCTTGCTTTCCACCCTCCCCGCCAACCCTCTTCAAATAAAATCCAGACTCTTCAGCACAGTTAAAGCTTGTCTGTCCCTCACCCACATACCCATTCGAAGACTTGGAGCCATAGGGGAAACCCGAGTATTGGATATGGTTATTTCCTTGGACAACCTTTTTGAGGAAAAAAGTTGCCAACTTTTACCCTTTGTTTTTACAGCATTAGGAATGGTGCCACCTCCTGAAAACGTCAGAATGAATTCAGTTAATTTCAAGAACATTCTACAGTGGGAGTCACCTGCTTTTCCCAAGGGGAATCTGACTTTCACAGCTCAGTACCAAAGGTAAGTCGAGGGCACTCTTGGCAGGAAAGCACCAGAGGGTGGTGGCCCTGGGCTGGTCACTGGGCCAGACCACAGAGGAGAGTCTGACTCCTGTCACCTCCATAACCATGGTAGCCCACGGGAAGCCTTTCTCCTGGTCCTCTTTCTTTTTGGCCCTAAAATTCTTGTCAAAACTCTGTTTTCTGAAAACAGACAAGTAAAATCTTTTTTCCTTTTTCTTGTGATAGTTCGTGGTGTGATCATTGCAGGGCCACTGAAAAATAGACATTTCATCACGTAGACATGGGTGTCATCAGCCACAGCAGTAACCTACAACAATGCGAGCATACTGAGTTTGTCACAATTGATGTTTCTTAAGAGAAAAATGCCATAGATTACCATCTTCCAAGTACTTAAAGTAGTATTGCTGGAAGTCAGCAATTTACAAGTGGATGCTCTCCAAGAAAACTGAGGCATGCAAAGAAGCCCAGAAGCCTCTTGCTAGCTTACCACCCACCCCCTCCAGTAGGTTATAACCTGGGTGCCCCAGTGCAGGGTGGTGCAGACAGGGTGCATAGTGGGGGCTCAGTTACTCCAAGGCTCTGTCCCGAGATTGCACGTAAGACAGCCACTGGCTGTCAAAAGCTCTGTGAAGACAGCAGAGGCTTACAAAGGAAGGCTGAGTGTCACCCACAATGATGACCTCCGCTCTGACCTCCCAGTACCTTCCCTGCCTGTCGGTTTTCCCCTGTGCCAGCCGTCCTTTGGCAGCCTGCCACCATACACCACAGGCTGGACTGCAGGTGACGCCCCTTTGTGCCAGGTGCAAACAGCAACAGGTGGCCAAAGGCCAATGAGCCACACACCTGCTTCCAGTGTGACTCAGAAACATACAAAGGCAGACAACTCCTTCAGTGAGGAGAGAGGAAGTATGGGTCTCGGATGCCATTAATGCCACACTCCTCACGCGGCCTTCATTTTACAAACATATCCAAGGCCTGCTAAGTCAAAGTGAGACAGGCTGGCTCCTGAGATGTGGGACCCAGGGCTGCAGTGCTTGCACGAGGGCAAACATCTCCTAGAGCAACAAAATACAAAGAAACCATAAGGGACTAAAAATAATTGCATGCATGTGCAGTTGGGGCACATTATGAATAACAAGATACAAAAAGACCAAAAACCCAACTGCCACTTAAAGCAGGCAGCTGCGCGTGATCCCTGCACACAGCACCACCAAGAGGGTGGGGGGACCACCTAAGCCACCCCTCCAGCCTGATCCCTGGACCTGCCCCTGCCCTCACCCCATTTAAGGGACCAGCTCACCCCCACCTCAGGGAACAAGCGAGGGAACCTGTTACTTGTTTTAGCTCCTTTATGCTGTGAGTCTCAATAAAACCTTGCCTGAATTTCTTATCTAGCCTCTTACCAATTTCTATTAAGGGGACCTACCCTAAGAAATAGAAAGATAAATAAGAGAATCCTTGTTTACATTCTTTTAAACTTGTTAGTTCAGAATAATTCCAAGCCAACAAAACATTTCAAAAATTTCAAGTATAATACAAAGCACTTCCAAATAGCCTGTATCCAGATTCACCAATTTTTAAGGTTCCCCACATTTTCTCTCCCCGTCTCTCTCATACATAATGCCTTTAGCCTCTTAAAATTTCATTGTGTATTTCATAAAAGCAAGGATAACCTGTTACATCACTGCAGTACAGTTACCAAGATTTGGCAGCCTTATCAATGATACAATACTTTAATCTAAGTCTATATTCCAGTTTTTGTCGGTTTTCCCAAGGGCTTAAGAAGGGGCATTCTGAGACTTCTTTTTCTCCTGCAGTGTATTTTCTAGCACTGATTGGTTTTATAATCTCATCTCTGTTTTCTCCACTCTGTCTTGATAGCTCTAGGGATTTCATTATGGAAAATTAACTTCCCTGTCTCTCTCCCCGTAGTTTATTTTTTGTTGTTCTGTTCTTTGCTTCTTTGCCATTGGAGTAGAGGTGTTTGGTTTGGGGTGTAAGTCTGTTACATAAATGTTCCCAGTGACTCCCCAGTAACTGGTAACCAAGAGTGAATGCGTGGGTTCCCGGTCTTCTCGGTAGATGTGCAGACCGAGCATGGCATGTGCTGGGTGTGGAAGAAATTTGATCCTGAAAAATCCAATTACCCTTCTATGCCTCTGGAAAAGCTTTGTTTCGAATTTAACCTGAGCTGCCGCATAGCACAAACTCTGTTGTATGTGTGCATTGTGTAGGGATGGCCAGAGAAGATGATGTCATGGTGGTTTTTAATGTGTAAACATCTAAAATAATTAGATATAAATGTGGGGAATGGGTCATATTACCTGCTTAATGGGGAGAAAAATATTTTTATATGTAATTAAAAAATGACCCAGTGAAAGAGACATTATTGCAAAACAACTCTCGAAGTACTCCGTGTTCCAGCCAATTGCATTAGTTTAAATACATGGAAGGAAATGGCCACCAGTAGAAACCCCCTTAACGAAATGACCCCTGGATTTTCCCAATTGATGAGATGTTCGGCAGCCATGAAGAGTTGATTGATTAGAGAAATGTTTGTGGTATATTAAGTGAAAAAAGCAAGATAGTTAAATAGTCTGAGCCAAGTTATCTCTGCCTACTAAGAGTGCAGTGGAGTGTGGGGTGGAGCCCGAGACAGTGGACTCTGAAGTCAAGCAGACCTGGGTTCCGTGGGGCAGGTTTCTCTCCATACCTGCACCGCATCTACAAAATAGGAGTGATGTCAGTTCTGCCCTCCTGGGTTGTGAAAATGCAATGAGATAATATTGATAAAACAGCCCTGCCTGACACCTAAGTGCTTATCAAGTGTTGGCTGTTATTTTTATCACCACCACCTTTTTTGTCACCTCTGAGGGCAGTGAGATTGGTTTTGGCATCGAGACAGGAAGGTGTCAAGCAGACAAAATTCTCACTTTTTGCAAGGCAAGAACCTGGATTTCCTGAAGTTGGGCGGAGCTAATTATACCTCCTGCTGTGAAGTTAGGTTGCACACACCTGGTAGGTGTTTGCAAGCAGCCCTTTTCTTCCACTTCATGCTCTCCCTTTGGTGATTGGTGTCAGGGCTGGAGATCTGAGATCAACAGGTTGTTTTATAATTTTTCCAGTGTAATTGAACAAGAGTCACTTAAAGGACATTTTTGAAATCGTTATGATATACTTATTTTGGCTAACCTGTGTGTATCAACATTTCACAACAAACCAAGTCCCACAGTTTTCAGAAATATATAATCAAAGAAGGAAGCTTTTGGTCAAATATGTTGCATACACAACCCCTTTTTGGAAAGATGCGTGCCCATTAGGATAGGAACGTCTCTGAGAAGTTCTGTTGTAAAAACAGACACTTATTTCTATCTCACCCAGTTTTTGCCCTGAACTGGTTGAGCATTGGGATGGATTATTTTTGAAATGTCTTATGATACCTCAAGGATCATTACGATCCCATGAGGCACGGTTTGGAAAAAGCTCGTGTAAGTGATACATACTCTTCATAAAAATTGATGATTAAGAATTTGCCTTATTCTCTCATTACCCTCTGGTAATCTTTAGTAGCAGGAAGAATAAAGCACCAGTCAGCCTCAGAGACTCAGGTTAGAACTCTCATGATTTTTTTCTGATTTTCTAGTTATAGGAAATTCCAAGATGTATGCACGAGTACTGTCTTGATGGAATGTGACTTCTCAAGTCTTTCCAAGTATGGTGACCACACCTTGAGAGTCAGGGCTGAATTTGCAGATGAGCATTCAGACTGGATAAACATCACCTTCTGTCCTGTGGATGACAGTAAGCCACGATGGTTTTTGTTTTATTGTAATGTCATCTTGCCTTGGTTGTTTCCCCCTTTGGGTGTCCCATCAGCAAGAATTCTTTGAGTGCCCACAAAGTGAATGGCCTTGCACATCGAACTTAGGGGATATGATAAAGAGGGCTGTGGCCTTGAAGAAGTTTGTGGAGATAGGAAAGGATAGGCGTAAGTCAATAAGATAATTAAATAGAAATTTGAATTGGGGAGGGTATAGCTAAAGTGGTAGAATGCATGCTTAGCATGCAGGAGGTCCTGGGTTCAGTCCCAGGACCTCCTCTAGGAATAAATAAATAAACCTAATTACCCGCCCCCACCCCCTGCAAAAAAGAAATTTGATAACTTGAATGCCTTGAGAATAAAAACAAGTTGGGGCTTTGTGGGTATAGCTCAGTGGTAGAGCACGTACTTAACATGTATAAGGTCCTGGGTTCAATCCCTGGTACTCCACTAAAAAGAAAAAAAAATGAGTTGGGTCCAGTGCTGTTGATGAGAAACATTGGAAGGATTAGTGTGGTGAATTTTCTACAAGGAAGGCATTTTGGAATCATGACTTAAAGAAATGTGACGCAATAGACAGAAGAGTGAAGACTGATTTCAGGCAGGTGTTGAGACAGAAAGAGCAGATCAGACAGCCAGCTTGCCCAGCATGAAGGCCAGAGGAATGGACACAGCTGACGGCAGATGGGTTGGGTCAGGCTGGCCAGTAGGCATCAAAAAGAATGTTCCAGGGTTAGATCTGGAGGGTCCTGGGGACCCACCAGAGACCATGAGATAAACATCATTAGAATATCAGGAACTGAAAACTAAAACACCATTTAGCAATTGAGAGAATAAAGAGGATGAGAATCTCATTAATAAGACTCAAGTACAGCCCTCCAAAGAGCAGACAGACGCATCAGGAGGATTGTCCGCGTAGGGAGGGGTCTTTGTCCTGACCACGCCCCTGCTCGGACCCTCAGGGCTCCCCCAATTTCCCTCTCCGTGGTAGGGAATGTGGCTAGAATATCCTCTGCCCATTCCTAATTTTGTCCCAGGCTTGGACCAAAAAAAAAACTATCTTATTTTTGGAGTCAGAAACTATCAAAGTGATGTTATCTTTTCTAAAGTTCTCTTGATAGATACTAAGAAAAAACGAACATTTGAAAATACAAACAGCTTAACAATTGAACTGACTTACCAGTTTCTGACTGGATCCAAATCCTGTTTGAGGGCCACTCTATGGAAGTTCTCTTTAGAAACTGATGCTGGATAGATAAGCAGTTTGCCCCAAGGTCACTCAGGTATCAGGTGGCAGCGCAAGGATTCAGGCCCAGGCTCCCCATCTGTGCTGTTAGCAACAACCGCCCCACGTCGGCTGTTTGCCTCCTGAAGTTTACATGATGGCAAAGTGCTTCAAGATGTCATGTGGAACCTGTTTATACTTGCTTCAGAAAAAATATCTAATAGGTGTTCTTACCTGGTTTTCAGCCATCAGCAGATTAGAAATGGGGTAGAATGCCAGAAGCAGACCCATTAGCAGCCCCCGAAGCGTCACAGCAGCCAGAGAAGAACACAGGCTATAACACAAACAGCAGTGGCCCAGAGCCACTTCCGATTCAGTCCACAGTTACTACTGCTACTGAGCACCTACCACGTTACAGTCATATTCGTAATGCTGAAGCTACAACAGTGAACAAGACAAAAACCCCTGCCCTGGTGGAACACACGTTCTAATGGAGAAGACAGATAATCAACAAACAGATACGCATTTTATGATAGTGACTGTGGCTCACTAGAAAATAAAGGAGGTACCTGGTAGGGAGAGAGATAAGAGCTGCTCTTTACATGGAGTGGTGAGGGACAGTCCTCTCTGAGGAGGTGGCAGTTGACCAGAGAGCCAAAGTGAAGGGACATCATGGGAATATCTAGTAAAAGAGCTTCTGGGAAAGGAGCAGCTTCAGACCTTGTAGGAAAATGTGTATGGTTAATTATATATGTTCAACACTAAAGATAATAGAAATGCCATCTGTCGCTTCCAACTCAGTAAAGGAAATAAAGAAAATTCAACCCAACAGAAAGAAAAGGAGAGGAACAAGCCCCCCAAAAAGCAGTCTTTACAGAGCACACAAAATAATGTAGTTGGAATAACTCCAAATCAGAAATTACACTAAACATAAATGGACTAAACCTGATTAATAAAGGCAACAGTTGAAAGATTAGTTTTTTTTTTTTAAGAAGCAAAATCCAACTATCCGTCTTAACCCCATCAGTCAGTGTCTCTGCAACAGTGTCTCAGAGGGCAGAGCGCTTCAGTAGACCAGTTGGTCTGCCCAGTTACAGAAGATAAACGTTGATGTTTTTTTAACATGTGAATTTTGATTGTCATTTTGTTGTGTTCTCATACTTAGCTATTATTGGACCTCCTGGAATGCAAGTAGAAGGGCTTGCTAATTCTTTACATCTGCGTTTCTTAGCCCCCAAAATTGAGAAGGAACCTGAAACATGGACCATGAGGAATATTTATAACTCATGGGCTTACCATGTGCAATACTGGAAAAATGGATCCGATGAAAAGGTAAGCTGGGTGAATCATATGTATGTCAGATGTAAACTCCCTGCCTCTTACTCAGTGTTGGTCTGAGGCCATGACAAGGAGGGAGGTTTCGCTGGATGGCAGCACCTTATGGTCCGGAGGATCTCAGGCCTCGTCCTTTGAGCTTTAGAAGCTTCCACTTGAGGGGTTACCCGACCTGTGTGTCAGGTCACGCTTTCCAGGCCACAAGGGAAATGCAAAGAGCAGACTTGCTGGCCGCTGGTGCAGGGAGGGCTGGGCTTCCTTTCCACAAAGGGAAGTTGCCAGAAAAGGCAGAGCTGACTCACCAGTTGGCTGGGAAAACTTGGAGTCAGCTGTGTCAGTGATCAGTGAATGACTACTGTTTCATGGTGTGAACCCCCAGGTCCCACATACCCCATGGAATAGTCAAGTCCGTGGTCAGGGCCACCCTAGCCCTGGATAAATGATGTCACCTTTTACCTGACTGACCCCATCTTTTCCCATTGCTTTCCTCCTCTTTAGGGGACAATTCCTTTAAAAAAAACATGGACCAGCAGGTGGGGGCTATAGCTCAGTGGTAGAGTGCGTGCTTGATGTGCACGAGGTCCTGAGTTCAATCTGCAGTGCCTCTGTTAAGGAAAAAATAAATATATAAAAAAAAATGAGACTAGAGGTGAAAAGACCCAGTTGGAACGTTGGCCCCTGCCACTGTGTGACTCTGATTCTTGACCTCAGCTTGTCACATCTGCAAAATGGGCTTGTAACCTACTTCATGAATAAAGTGGGGATAATAACCTACTTCATAGGGTTGTTATGAAATTTAATGACACAGTGAAAAAAATTAACTTGTCCCATCATCTGAACAATGTATGTGGTCAATATGTGAGGTTTCCTTCCCGTTATGTAGATATGTTAAGGCTATAATCATTCCTCTTTGGTCAAGTTTAATTCTTATACTTAGTGTTTCTGGGCTGAAGGCCATTTGTGGGCCTAAAATGACTTACATGTATGTTACATAAGTTAAGTTATATTCTGTCTTCTCTACATTAAATGTTGATCTTATCAGTAATTCTCAAGGATCTGGGAGGAAAGGGTCACCCATGTGTATTATCTGAGGAATGATATAATTAAATGTATAGCCCAAAGAAATCTCAAGTGAATTTTCCCCCCCAGAAATGCTCCATTGTGATCAATTCATAACATAAATAAATGTTGGATCACTATGTTGTACACCTGAAACTCTTAAGATATTGTATGTCAACTATATTTCAATTTTTTAATGCTTCATCGAATGATACAGGATATCTGCCTTCACAGATAAGATGACTTTCCTCATAGTCAAGACCCCAGGAAATGCAGGCCGAGGAAGCAATATAGAATGATGAGCTTTAAGGTCACTTATTGCGTGCAATTGTCCCTGCTAAACTCTGGGCTGCAAAGATAACTCCTACTATGATTAAGGTCCCCTTCCACAGTTACCATGCCTGAGTGCCACCTCCCACAGGTGCAAAATGCAAAACCCAGTCTATCTTTAGCTTCTTATCTAGAATCTGCCCACAGGATAGGCATCTGGTTGCACATTTGTCCCATCACTCAACCTGGCTGTGTGGAAAGCTCTGGCGTGACATGCAGAGCATTGGAAAGGCTGCGTGCTCCCCAGCGCCTCCCTCACAGGTGCCTGTGGTGTCACCTTTAGCAGTTCGTATGTGCTGTGGACTGAATGTGTTCTCTCAACCCACCCCACAGATTCATATGTTGAAACCTAATCTCCAATTTTGTGGTGTCAGGAGGTGGGGCCTTTGGGAGATGATTAGGTCATGAGGGTGTTGCCCTCATGAACGGGATTAGCGCCCTTACAGAAGAGACCCCAGAGAGCTCTCTCCCTCATCCCTTCCACATTGTGAGGACTCAGCAAGAAGATCCAGCTACAGACCAGGAAGCAGGTCCTCCTCAGAAACCAGATCTGCCCATTCCTTGATCTTGGACTTCCCGGCTCTGGAACCATGAGAAATAAATGTTAGTTGTTGATAAGCCACCCAGCCCACCAGTCTGTGTCATTCTGTTGCAGCAGCCATAAGGCATTGCGGTTCCCTTTTCGCATGCAGGTGTCTGTCCCTGAGCAGGTACCCTAGTAGGTCCCTGAGCTGAAAACATAAAAGGCTTTTGGAAATTCTGTTTCTTCCTGAAGGGAGAAAGTGAGAAGATGCAACCAGCAGTTGTCCAGAAGTGAAGGAAGGCTAGAAAAGCAAGCGGAGGGGACTTGAGCAGGTCCCCTCACATCTGTGCCACTCTCTTCCCTGTCTGCCTCTTGAGCATCAGCCTCTGAGGTTAGTCCTGCAAAAATTGCACTGTAAGGTGCTAGAGGTATTGGATTTCTAGAAATGACAGCTGGGGGAGGGGAGAGGTAGTTCTTACTTTTGTTTTTCACTATTAGAAGTTATACTGTACTCTGCATGTTTTCTGTGAGTATGATCCAGTTCTTGACCTCAGTGAGCTTAGCTTCTCATACAATAAAGGCCTAGAGATAAGAGGTCAGCAAGCCCAGCGGCCCACAGAAGAATAACCAATTACCAGAGTGAAAAAGAGTCTGCGCTCACTCACTGTGAAGTTCCTACTCACGTCACAGATTTTACGTAAGACCCTTCTGTCAGAAAATTATGACCATGCTGGAAATACAGGCCGTACGTACTCTTTTAATTTCCTTTATTTTGCCGGAAACTATCTTGGTTTCTCAAATTCAGAAATGTGTCATCAATTAATGATGCCCATTACGCTATTCCAATCAAGCTACGATGAGTCCAGGATATCCCCGCCGGAGGCAGGCTGTGGCGTGTGCCCTCGAGGAGAGGTGAGCCCTGGGGGAGGGCAGCCCAGCTGCATGAGTGGAGACGCGGTTCCGAGGAAAACATGATCTCAACTTAGAAAATCATGTTGAGTCTTGCTGTAGGTGTCTGCCTGCTAGCTGCTGAAACAAAGTGCACTGAACTGGGTGGCTGCAGCAACAGAATTGTACTGTCTCAAGGTTCTAGAGGCTGGGAGTCCGAGATCAAGGTGTCTGTGGGATTGGTTCCTCCTGAAAACCATGAGGAAGGATCTGGTCCAGGCTGCTGGTAACTACTGGCCATCTTTGGGTCCTTCGCTTACAGAGGCATCACCCCGACCCCTGCCTTCATCTTTATGTGGTATTCTGTGTGCATGTCTGTGTCCAAATCTCCTCTTCTTACAAGGACACCAGTCAGACTGGATTGGGCCCCCCACTGCTGACCTTGTTTACCTTGATTACATCTGCAAAGGCCCTCTATCCAACCAAGTCATCTTCTAAGGTACCAGGGGTTAGGGCTTCAACATATGAATATTAGGAGGATGAAATTCAACCCATACAGCTGCTTTATCTTTTTTTTTTTTAAGGAAGTAGACATGGGGGAGGGTACAGCTCAGCGGTAGAGTGCAGGCTTAGCATGCACAAGGTCCTGGGTTCAATTCCCAGTACCTCCACTAAAAAATAAAATAAAAAATTAATTAAAAAATACATAGCGAGACCTAATTACATCCCCCTTCCCCCCCCCAAAAAAAACAAAACAAAGAAGGTAAGATGGTTTGTATGTCGTCTAAGCTAGAGAATTCAGGAAATGAGATGGTTTGTGAGGACCTGTCAGTCCTTGCCCCTCCCTTAGGATGGTATCAGGGTGCCCTGACATAAACTGGGAGGAGCACCTGCTTCCTGAAGTGAAGATTAGAACTGGTGAGTGTTAGGGGAGGAAAGAAAAGATGGTGCCCCTTTACTGCTGAGGCATGTTCTTATTTTTGTCTCCATTATAGTATACAATTACTTGTCAGTACGACTTTGAAGTCCTCCGAAATCTTGAGTCATGGACAACTTACTGTGTTCAAGTTCAAGGATTTCTTCCTGATCGGAACAAAACGGGGCAATGGAGTGAGCTGGTCTGTGAACAAACAACCAATGACGGTGAGTCTTAAGATGCACCATCCGCAGCTCCCCCACTCTGAGCATCCCCCAGAGCTTTATAGACTCCCAGCAAGTATCAGGGCTGGAGGGCTCCTGAGATATCACCAAAACCCCGTGACTGACCGCTTCATGCCGGGAGGGAGATCGCCACCCTCTGAGGCAACTCATTCACTCTTAGACCAGAGAGACCAAAGGCAAGTCCTTCTGCCCAGGGAGCTGAGGTCCCCCGCCATGCGGCCCCCTCCAATGTGCCGGTTCTGTCCCCTGGGGCTCCCTGAAGCAAGTCTCAGCCCTCCCAAGACCACCCAGCAAAGGTCGCGCCCTGGCACACACACCCAGGAGCCTTCCCTTCCCAGGCTGCACATCTCCAGTTTTTCCAGACACGATGTGTGGGAATTAGGAGGCCCTCTCACTCTCCTCAGCGAGCCGCTTTCAGGGTCCCTCGTGGATGCTGGCACCAGGACCTCCGCACAGTCCTTCACATATGACGTGTATTGTAGCGTCTGGCAGAGTGCCCCAACGCTTGGTGCTTCTTAAAAACACACACACACACACACACACACACACACACAAAAGGGGGAAAGGGAAGGAGGAAAAGAGGGAGGGGCAGGGTACCAGCTGGCCTGGACCCTGATTATTTGTATACAGACGCATTGCAATTGCATACGAGGTGATAAAAACTTGTAGCCTGGATGTCTGCACACAAATGACAGGCCTTTTTGCTATTTAAAGACATCCAGAGGCTCAGCCAGCTCAGACCACGAAAGGATGCACTGGTGCAGGTCTGCTCCTGGCCATTTGTGTTCACGGAGGCCCTCCTGGAAGCAAGGCGCTGAGCGAGGGGCCACAGAAATACAACGGAGAGTAAAGAATTCCCGCCGGCGAGAGTGCGCAGCTTTTCATCTTCTGTGTGGCTGCATCTGAGGCGGTCACGGGGTTGCCATCACACTGATTCATCATTTCAAGTCCCTGAATGTTGGTTTTTGTCACTGAACATATTTCTCACCCAGTTTTGCTCTGTCTCACCATCTGATTTGCTGGGAAGAGCCTCAGGATCCTCACCAGTTTGTTATTTAAACTGTTGGTGTGTCTAGGACACACCCTCCTTTAGACTACTCAACTGCTTGCTTACTGGTCCCCCACCCATCTGAGTATCGTGGACTGTTATGCGCTATTTTGTTTTATTATCCACAAAGTCACTGTGAAAGACTTTGGTAGAGTCTTATATCAGCTAAAATTGAGGACCCAGTGACCCAGCAGTATCCCAGGAGTGGCTGTAGGATATTTCACAAAGCAAGAGCCTGGTAGTCAGATGTGCTTGGAAATGATGGTACCCCACATTTCCCTCTCAGAAAAGTCATCCTATATATTAATAACATTTTTAGCATATTAGATCTTTCAACACCTTTTTTGAGGATGAGCATTCCAAGGAAGACAGCTTGGGATATGCCATTATTTAACAGTAAGTAATTCTATCTGGAAAAAGGAAAGGCAGCCACTATTAGCTAACTTCTTGGTGCCCTCATGCTACTATTTTTAGTTGCTGTCTGTATCTTTTTTAAGTGTTTGTCATTAGCTCCTTAACGATCTATTCTGGAATGTTCGTATTTTCTTTCTGGACATTGCATCAAGTTTACCAGCCTGTAGTTTCCTGAATCTTACTGTTGTTGAGGTTTTTTTCCCCATATATTTTGTAAATGCACAAATTACTTCCCCGAATCCAGGATTCTGTCACTTCTCCCAGGCACGTGCTCTTTTCAGTGTCATCCAAAACCCTTTTACAATCGTATTAGTAGATTTTCTCAGGATTGCAGAGCCACAGAGAAGATGGAAATTCTTGCTGTGTCTCTAGAGGGAATTCTCTGTCACTCTCCTTTCTTTTTCTGTCGCCCCCAAGTGCCCCACCTCTGTCAGCCCGTGTTCCTCCTGCAGTGACTGAGCCTCTCAACAGAGCCTTTAAATAACAAAAGCCTACCATTTTATTCCTCTCCTGAATCATGTGTCAGAATTCTGTACCTTGGGAACCTGCATCCTGCTTGAATCATTAGAGGCCCTCACCTTGGAATCATTCCTCTTTCCTCTAAACACCCGCCGGCTGCTTTCCCCAAGCCTTGAGTACAAGCCCGGTTGTCCTGTGACCTGTCCTTCCCCACCATGAACTCCAGAACATGTGACATCGGGCAAGTCCTGAACTGCCTGGTGCCTCAGCCACCTGATCTGCAAAATGGGGGAAATAAAATGATGCTACCGCACAGGAGGGGTGGTGCTGGGAGGACTCCAGACAGTACCCAGTGCAGAGTGAGCCCCAGCACGTATTAGCCATCACTATTATTAATAAGGACATTATTCATCTCATATCTTTATTCTTTAAGGTTTATGTCATGAAACATGGCATGGGGCACACAGTTTGACCAAAAAAAGAAATATTTCATGATTGTAAAGGATCACCCATTAACTGACAAAGTCCAAACATTCTAGAAAAGAAAAGGGAAAGTATAGCCCGTTAAAAACCTGCTTTCATCAAACATCATTTTGGGTTCGTTGAAACAGTTCTCTCATTTAAACCTCACAACAGGTCTTTAGTGAGAGCACTGGAAGGCCTCCCCTTTCTCAGACTGGAAGGTGAAGGTTCAGAGAGGTGAAGTAACTTGCCCAATGGCACTCAGCTAGTAAATGACAGGAGGGAAGTAATGTCTGTGCCCACTGCCTACAGATTAATTCCGTAGGTAAGTGAAGGTGCGGTTTCCCTGCGGGTGAAACAGAGAAAGGGGTCCGGCCAACAGCGTGGTCGGGTAGACTGAAACCAGCTGGAGAGCTTTCTGTAGAGGGTGTGATTACTCAATTCCCCCACAATTCATAGCCTGTGTAAAGCAGGGTCCTCTCCACCCCCTCTTCTCCCTCGGGGTGAGTCACAGAAACACCCTTTGTATTTCGTCACCATCAACCACGTGTGTTCGTGGAATGTTCTTGTCTAAGATGCTGCGATGTCTGGGCCTGGGACCCAAGGACACCCAGGCACTGCCACCCAGGGGTTCATCACAGTGTCACCAACCATGCCAGGGAGGGGCTCGGCAGTCCACATTTAATCAGTGTTGAGTGGGTGATTCTGATTCATGGCAAATTAAAGAACCGCTGAAATATTAAATGAAAAGACGGATGGATGAGAAGGATCCTGGAACTTCCTCCAGAGCTGGGACATCAGATCTCAGGTCGACCTCCTGTTTACAGCTGGGCGATAGCCTGGGGGCCACCCCCGCCGGCTCCCTCGCCACAATACCCTACGTCTACCAGGGAGACATATCTGAGTTGAACATGCAAGAAGTGCGGGTTAGAAGGCACCACCCACCTCGATTCTAGTAAATGAAACAAGAACTCAGAGGGACCCAGGATGAGTCCCTCTGAGCTCGGCAAGGGCACAGGCTAGAAAGGTTGTTCACACTGCCAGTGTGAACTGTGGAGTAAGAGGACGAAGAGGGAAGGGAAGCGGGCTCATCCAGCCTCTTACCCCTTATGACCACCATATCCATCCTCCAGTGTTTAAGGGGTGTCTGTTGCTGGGCACCTCACTCTGTGCTGGGAGGGGCCCGCAGGGGACTGCAGTCAGTGTCGCTCCGGGATTGTGTGCTGTTTCGGGGTTCTTTGATCAGCCCTATGTGAGTAAGAATTGACATTTTCCCATAGACCATCCCCTTAAAACGACTTGCTCTCACAGGGCTGGGCCCGTTCACCAAATGCTTTGGCTTTGGATCAGGAAGGTGGTGCTGGCTTCCAGGGGTTGGTCATAGAGAGGTCAAGGAGGGCGGCTGGCCACGGGGCTGAATGAGGGGAGCTGGACCACCTGGGACAACATCCTGTACACCATCAAAGATAAAGCCGGACATCAATTAAAGCAGTAAAAACTGATCTGAGTCGATCACAACTGTAGGAGGAGAAAGAGCTGGGAGTTTTGAAGGAAGAATAGGGAACCAGGAGGGGAAGAGAGCAGAGAGCCAGGGAAGTGAGAAATGACAGAAACTGGTGAGATGGCTGGTCAGTATGGATGCGGGCAGGCCGTCTGTGTCTAACGCTCACCGGTATTTGTCAGATGGGTTCCTCCTTCGTACTGAGACTCAGAGACAGGGGCCCACTTTTTCCCCACTTCAGAGGAATGGCTTTCAGGTCCTTGAGAAAGACACTCTTGGGTTGTAGGAGATCCGTGTAGGTCTCAAAGGGACAGAGGAAGGATTTACAGTCCTAAGCTTTTTATGAAAATGTACTAAGAAAGGAAGGTTCGCAGAACAAAGGTGAGATCTTTTGGCAGCCTTGGGTTTTTCCAGACAGGAGCTCAGGGGGGCGCTGGGTGGGCTCAGGGTTTGGCCTGAGAGTCTCTGAGTGCAGGCCATTGGATGGGGTGGTCCGTGTGATTCTCAGGACAGAACACTGCAGCACGTGTGTTTCAGTGGGGATCTGGGGACCCAGGGAGTCCTGTTTCTTGCTTCAAGCCAGAAGAGGTTTATCCAGACCAGGTTGCTGATGGCTGCCCTGTGAGTAAAGCAGGTCAGAGTGCTTGCTTGTGTATATAAGCAGTCATGCCGAAGCCCAGCTTGGAGGAAGATAGGGAGGGGACAGAGGCTTGCAAACCTCTGGATCCTCGAACAGCTGCTGTGTTTCCCCCGCACACCTTCCAAGATGTTGGGCCCCATTTCTGGGCTTGCCATTGGATTGTGATGGTGAAAATAGCGTTAAGGGCACTGTCATCCAATCTGTGCATGACAAGAACATGACCCAGCCCGTCATCCCCGCAGAAACCACTCCCTCGTGGCTCGTGGCCGGTGTCCTGGCCGCCTCGGTGTGTGCCGCCTTCCTGCTGCTCCTTGGCTGCCTCGCCTCGCTGCACTGCCTGTACAGGAAGGCCCGGTACGCCTTCTCCCCGAGGTATTCCCTTCCACAGCACCTGAAAGAGGTAGGTGGTACCGTGGAGCCAGATGTGGGTTCAGAAACGCTGGCTGGAAGGAGTTTTCCTTCTAAGTCAGGGACGCCTAACTCAGCACAGTGGGCTTTCCTGGAAAGGACACATGCTGGTCCCAGCCCTGGGGCCATTTCAGGGACATCTGTGCTCATGGAACTGTCCTGTGGGAGAGGACAAAGGTTTGTTCCGGAAGCCCTCCCTCCAGCCAGGACGCTTTCCTTCTCCATCCTTCCCTGTCCTTGGGATGTCAGGGAGCAAAGGTGATGATCCTGGGACAGGAAAAGACAAGGCAGAGCTCAGAGCAGAGAAGATAAGGGAGAGAAAACTAGGCTGAGTGCCAGCGGACAGCCAGGGGAGAGGCTGGGAGAAGGGGCAGGAGCAGCTTCAGTTTGGGGGTCTCTGGGAGCAACAAAAATGATGGGAGGTGGTTCGGAGACTAGAAAAGCAATTTTCTTTTTTCCGTCTTTTTAGGAAAGCTATTTTCAAAGGGTTTAGAAGGAAGAAGGGATGTACCTGGGTAGAGATGGTGGGACAGACGTGGCCTTAAGAAATGAAATTCTGGCTATATGCTCACATTTAGAAATGAAACAGTGCCAAGCCCAGCCCCAGGAGACCCAATCTTCGGTCTCATTCCCCAGGAAACAGACTCTGAGATGGAGGTTTGCATTCAGAAGGCTTAATGAGTAGCTTTGGGAGTAATACCTCTAAGGGAGCGAGGTCAGCAGGCTGGGAGGAGGGGAAAGTTGAGATGTGATGCTGTCACAACAGAGGTCTCTGCCATCCCACAGGGGCTCTGGAGCTGGGGTGGCTCTTTAGAGATGTCCTGAGCTGAGGCAAGAGGGCCTGTGGGTCCCATGTTAACCGTGGGCTGGGTGTGGGCTACCCGCAGGAGGGAGGCAAAACTAGGGCGCGGAAACTCGTGGGGAGACCCTCAGCAGGGAGGCAGCCCTGCTCCCGCAGCCAGGGGACTGTGTGCCTCCTTGCTGAAGGAGGTCCGGGTGGCTTACTGTGGCATCCACTCCAGCCCGCCCCGTAAACCACCGGGACCCACGGTACAGTTCCTCCAGGAGCTGAATTGATCTCTTCTCCTGGGGAAAGTTACAAGAGGAAGGTTAACGGAACAAGGTCCAGCCCCACCGCTGCAGCTGGTCCCGGGTAACATTCACAGGCTCGCTGCTCTGCTGTCCCTGCTGGAGACCCCTCTCCCCTGACTAGCCCTGCGGACCTCACAGGGCATCTCACACCCTCAGTGCTAAAAGCCTGAGCCTCTGCTCACGGGGCCGCATGGGTCTGGGCTGCTCTGCTCCTCCACTTGCCATCAGGACAGGGGACATCTCAGTGCCACGAGGTGCCCTGTCACTCAGCTGGGTGCCCCTCATCACATGGCAGCAGCCTTTTCTCCTCCCAATGACCCATGTGCTGACTCCTTTCCTTGCCGGCTAGTTTCTTGGCACAAGGAGCCTGACATGAGAAGGTGGCCGCTATAACTGAAAGTTTAGTGGGACCCCTACTGTGTTCCCTGGTGGAAACGTCCCCTCTGAGAACCCTCTAGCTCAGAGTCAGCAAACTTTTCCTTGAAGGGCCACAAAGTAACTGATTTAGGCTTTGAGGCCAAGATTGAGATCTTATGTGGATACCTATAGAACCACTTACATGTAATCATTTACAACTTTAAAACCATCCTTTGAAACCAGTCCATGCTCATGGATTTGGCCCATGGGCCGTAGTCTGCTGAGCTCAGCTCTGAGCACATAGAACCTAAAATTGCGTGGACAGGGAGCACTGGCTCCCAGGAGCATCACTGGGAGTGAGGGTGGGCAGGGCCATTCCCATTTCCACCTGTTGGTCCCTAAACCTCTTCGGGACACAGTATCACATGCTGTTGTTGAGTCTCGGTGCATGCCTGGTGCCAGGGGACAACGTGCTCCAACCTTCAGCAGGCTGGCCACTGTCCTTCCAGGCGGGCAGCCGCTGCGGGGGAGGTGCAGCACGTGGATACCAAGCCACTCCTGGCCTCCTCTGCCATCACTGGGTCCCGGGGCCTGACATGGTGTATAACGCAGAGCGTGCGTTAGTCAGCTCAGGCCGCCATAACAAAGCACCACACACTGGGAGGCTTAAGCAACAGACACACATCGTCCCAAGGCCCTGAAGACTGGAAGCTCAAGACGCAGGTGTTGGCAGGGTCTGTTCCTTCCAAGGTCCATAAGGGCGAAGCTGCTCCGGCCGCTCCCCTCACTTCTGGAGGCTGCTGGTCATCTTTGGTGCCTTAGTTTGTAGAAACCTCACCCCATCTCTGCCTTCATCTTCACGTGGTGTTCTCCTGTGTCCAGATTTCCTCTTTAAGTCACTAGTCATATCAGGCCAGGGTCCACCCTAAGGGGCTCCTTTAACTTGGTTTCCTCTGTAAGGACCGTATCTCCAAACAGGGTCGCATTCCGAGGCCCGGACTCTGGAAGGGGCACCAGTGCACCCCGACTGGAGCTGACACCTGTTTGGGGAATGATCAGCCATACGTGTCCTGCAGGGCCTTGCCGGCACTGCTGAGGCCTGACAGAACGTTTGCTCCAGGGATAGAGGACCCCGCTGTGGGTCTCGGAGTCATTATGTGGTCCGGAGACCTCCCCACGTGGAGCTGCTCCCAGAGTCCAGCCACACGCCTCTTCCCGGACTCCCTCGCCTTCCGGTCTCCCTTCCTCTGGCCCGTGACCGCCAGCCTCGCCATCAGGGCCCTGCCTGGGATTCCACAGACACCTGGCCTTGGGCCGCTTCTCTTTCCATACAGAGAGGATAGATGACCAGACGCACAGCCCGAAGCTCTGCCAGTTGGAGGCACTGTCCTCACCACAGCTGTCCGGGGCAGGCCAGGTTTGGTTTGCACCCACGTGCCACACTGACCTCCCTGTGAGCCATGTTTGGCCTCTCCCTCCTGCGAGTCGTAAGGACTCATCCCCCACCAAGGTCAAGGTGTGAGCAGAGGCAGCAGGGGCGGATGAGGGGGGTCGGCTGGGCTGCCTGCACATGCACCCTCTGACCCCACCTTAGGACCGGGTGGGTCTGACAAGCCTCATGATGGTCACTTTTAGGTGGCATGGTCACCTGGCGTCCTGTGGCCGGAGGTTCTGTCTCTCCCAGGTTCCCATAGCCCAAGCTCCAGGAGCTGTTTGCCAACAGGGTGCAATCCTCCGCTGCAGACGGCAGCCTGGCCGCAGGACTGTAGTGACCCGCACCGTGGTTCTCCTCTTGGGATTTGCCATCAGCTCTCCACAGTGTCTTTTCCCACCACAGGCCCTTCAGGGATCTCCCAGGTCTCACGGCCATTTCACGTCTGTTGGGTTAACACATTGTCATCTGGAGATGAGGCCAGGCCTTTGTACCCCGGTGTTAACCAGCATGGGATGTGGCCAGGGCAGCTTGCTCCAAAGCCCAGACTATCTGTGGGGCCCTTTCCTGCTCCGGGCCCCCTCGGGGCCAGGAGCCTTTTGTGTCACTCAGTCAGTAAACACACCGGAGTTGTGTTCCAGGTGTGGAACATGCTGCCCCCAGAGCCCTAAGGGGCCCACCTAGTATGGTGCTTCCTTCTTAGCCATGGGCGGTAAGACGTGATAATCAGTCCCTTCCTTTGCAGAGAGTGTCCCGGCATGGCCTATTCCATGGGACCTCTAAAGTGGATGTGGGAGGTCCCTGAATCTTCACTGGACAAGGGTCCCACCTTCTGAAGTACATATGTCTTACCCAGGCCTTGCCACTTCTTGCTTTCCTGGTCCTAGTCCCATATTGTCATGATAGCTGATGTCAGGCCTTGTCCCCACACCAGCCAGTCAGTTGCTCCAGGCCAACTTTGGGGAGGACAAGTGCCCTTGGCTGAGACAGCTGCCTTCCTGGACAGGGACTCCACTAGGAGCCACTTCAGCTCCAGTGTGGGCAGCACAGCCTCCGGTGTGGATAGAAAGTGGGCCCCGTGACCACAGGCAAGAGTTTCAGAGCAGCCAGAACCTTCTAACAAGAGTGCCAGTGAGACTGCAGCACCAGAAAGAGCCAAGAATCTTCCAGAGGTGGGCTTCTGAAAAGCAACATTTGCAGCAGGAAGAATAAAGAGGGGCGGGCCCTTTGCTCTGGGTAGAAGGTGTTTTGTAAATGGAGAACAAAGAGGAAGCAAAACTGTTCACCTGCTATTTTTGCTTCTGGCTTCACCATCAAAGGGACATGTCATCACACAGGAAAGGACAGATGGGGTGACAGCATGCTGCCAGGCAAATCAAAGCCAGAGACCAGCGTAGTTAAGGGGCACTCTGGAAGCAGCTCATGCCTCCAACGCAGGAAGAATTTGCAGCCGTGACTGTGGACCAGCCCCTGTAATATCTGAGAAATACAGGTGGGGGCGCTGGAGAGGGGCCAGGGGAGTGAGGGAGAAGGAGGCGCCAGGAAACCCGGAGCAGATGGGGTTCCTCACATCATGAAATTCTCCAGTTTGACTCATCATGTAGAGAATCCATTAACCATGGTCTAGAGAATGTACAGATGACATAAAGAGGGAGCAGACAGGTGACTTAAAGAATAACCAACTCAGGGGAGAGGTTAAAAATGCAATCCTTTAAGGAATGTTTCTCCATCTCATCTTGAAGATTAAAAGCATTAGTGGACCTACAAGGATGAAAAATGGAGAATGTGAAATCAGTGGATATTCCAGGAAACATATATGGGCATTTTCATTGTTGAAGTGTTGGAGTGACAAGGATGATTAGACTGGTTCCTGTCTGTAACTAGCCCGCCTGCTGAAGGGACACACTGTGAAAAATCAGCATCCGTAAAACGTGCTAGACGGAAACACAGCACATAAGTTTTAAATTTGCTAGTAGCCAGGTTTTTTAAAAAGTAAAAAGAAACAGATGAAATTAATATTAATAATACATTTCATGCAGCCCAGTGTATCCAAAATATCATTTCAACATGTGATCAAGTGTTGAAATATTTACAGCCTTTTTACATAAAAGTCTTTAAAATCTGGTATGTATTTTACATATAGAGTCAGACTAGCCACATTTCAAGTAGTAGCCACGTGTGTGGCTGGTGGCTGCTATACTGGACAGTGTGGGGCCCACTGGACACTGGGTGGCACCAAAGAGGGTCCCCAACTCAGGGTGAGGATGCACAGGAGATTGTTTTTCCAAGACACATCTATGCCGTGCCTGCAACATCCTTGCTTCCTAGAGGAAAGGATGCCCAGGCTGTGTCAGCCCCACAGCTTCTTAATCGTCCTGAAAAATCACCCTCCTGGCTTATAAGAGGAACTGTCAGAGGCAGACCTGTGGTCACTTAGCAGATGAGGTGCAGATTTATTGTCGCAATATTAAAATTGTGGTAAGACACACATAACGTAAACTTTACCATCGTAACCACTTCTGTGTCCAGTTTAGTGGTGTTCTAGTACATTCACATTGTTGTGCAGCCATCACCACCATCCATGCACAGAACTCCTTTTGTCTTGCAAGACAGAAACTCTGTATCCATTAAACAAAACTCCCCATCTCCCTCTCACCGCAGTCCTTGGCAACCACCATTCTACTTTCTGGCTGTGAGTTTGCCTGCTCTAGGTACCTCATGCAGGTGGAATCATACAGTATTTGTCCTTTTGTATCTGGCTTAGCTCACTTAGCATAAGCTTCGTCTGTGTTGTAGAGCGTATCAGAACTTGACTACATTTCAGGGCTGGATAATATTCCATTGCACATATAGACCACCTTCTGTTCATCCAGTCATCGTGGATGGACACTTGGGCTGCTTCCATCTTTGGCTATTGTGAATAATGCTACTCTGAACACGGGTGTGCAAATGTCTCTCTAAGACCCTGCTTTCAGTTCTTTTGGGTATATACCCAGAAGTGGAACCATCGGATCATATGATAATTCTATTTTTAATTTTTTGAGGAACTGTCTTATTGCTGTTGTCACATTTTTTTAAACAGTGTCTTCCAGCCAGGAGTTCTATATAAAATCATGAGCCCAGAAAAAAAGAATGGGAAACTTTGATAATTAACTCTTTTTTTTCCTCCTGCAGTTTTTGGGCCATCCTCATCACAGCACACTTCTCTCATTCTCCTTCCTACTGTCTGATGAGAATGAAGTTTTTGACAAACTGAGTGTCATCACAGAAGTATCTGAAAGCCACAGGCAGAATCCTGGCACCAGCTGCAGCCTCAGGACCCAGTCTGGGCAGGGACTCTTTGAACTAGTCTCCGAGGAGGGACCACACTCAGCTGGGCACGGTGACCCCCTGCTTCTCACATCTGCCTCTGAAGGCGATCAGAGCAACACACAAACGAGGACCGAGACCACCTGAGTAAACCCCAAATCGAGAACTCTCAGACAGTGGGACAAGCATAAACAACCAAAGAGCTGAATTTTAAAGGCTCACTTGGCAAAAAGACTCCGTATTGGGAACTTGCTACTTTATAAAGGCCTTAATGATTAAAAAAAGGAAGTAGTTGGCTGCCGGAGGTATGGTTTTCAACCTCTTGTGTTCACTGATATACCAAAAAAAAAAAAAAAAAAAAAAGGTTTTAAATGGTGGCAAGCAGAAATATTTAAAATGAGGAATAAAAACTGAGATACTGTAAAATCTGAGCAGAGTGCCAATAGACTGGTCCAAAAAAATGGCCTGGACTCAGAAGTAATTGTCAGCAAACACTGTACAGAGTGCAGACTTTGTGGATTCTCAGAGACTTACTTTCCTACATGGACGAGTTTTATATAGCACTATTAAAGTTTATTTAATCTGTGTGTATTAATGATACTGCATCTGTGTGACTGTCAGATTGAACAAGGTTCTCATGCGTCATGTTTAATGTCCATTCATTCAGAGGATGTTCTTCAGTCCCTGCCTGCGGTCAACCAGGGACTGTGCCTGGCGCAGGGGCCCCACAGCATCTGGGAAGCTTCAGAGAATAGGAGGCCCCAGGCTTTGAATTCCGCCTTGGACACTTACTCACCCATGACCGCTTGGTTTCCTCATCTGTATGTGGGGATGAAAAGACCCAAGGAGTAGTGTCACTCCGTGAAAAATGCCCACCCCCGCGCCAGCACAGAGTAGTCAGTGAACAGTAGCTAGTCCTGCCAGCAACATAATCTCATGGGTATGACTAACTTCACAAACCTAGGTTAGCAACAGATGTCCCTTCTTCTGGGCCAGATTGCCCAATAAAGCAGATTCATCAGAGTTCCCTAAAAGAGAGAAAAAGTACTTTTTGAAATAATTTGACATTTTTAAAATGAAACATCATGGGGGAAATAGACAGAAGTTTCTTGACCTGTTCAGTATTTTTACATTGCTTTCAATAACGAGGCGAGGGAGCAAGCATTGTATTTTGGGCTCTCGGTGTCCCCTGACGCTGGTCTGGGGCTAGTCTTACAACAAGGGAGAAAGCAATCCTCTTCCCCAGTAAATTCTTCTTCCCTGAAGGAAGAGGACCAGGACTGTGAACTTCTAGGCTTGGGAGAAGGAAAGGAGACACCTCATTATTCATCTGATCCCTGCCTAAATCCCCCTCATGTGTCTGTGGAATCTCCTTTGTGCAAGTGTGAACCCGTCTCTGTTTTTAGGGGCTCAAAATGCCACACTCTCCAGGTGGTCAAATAAAACTTCAGGGTTAACAGTTACAAATCGCGAAGCCCGAAAGGAAAGCATCACGAGCGAGAGCCAGCAGAAGCCCCAGGCAGCTGAGCCACACCCGCCCTGACTTCAGATGCTGATACGAACAGTCAGAGAACACACAGCATGCTGCGCAGTCAAATAAATGTGAGAAGGCACTGATAACATCAGGACAGCACAAGAGGCTGAATGATTCACAGGAACCCCAAATCTCAGTGGCTCTGAAAACAAAGACTTCTTCTTCACTCATTGTATGTGTGGCTGGCGGTCAACAATGGGTCTCTTGTAATCTCAGTGATGCCTTAATTCTAGGATCTAAGCTGAAGGACATGCCGAGTGGGGAAACAGCTGCCTGCCTGCCCCTGCTTAGAGCTCCTGCCTGGACCTGGAGCCTGTCCCTGCTTCCCACTTCCTTCAGCCAGAGATATGGCCAAGCCAATGTCAGGAGAGGAGGGAGGTGGACTCCTCCCCAGGGAGGAGCTGCGAGTCACATAGGACCAGTCGGATGTATGATTCTCCCACAAGGAGAGAGAATAATGGGGAGCAATCATTACAATCTGGAGAGTAAGAAACGATCAAACAGATTTGGTGGCAGGGGGTGGGGGGAGAGGTGTAGGAGGCGGTAAATAGACATCTGGGAGATGAAAAATATAATACAGTTGACAGTACAGATTTGAGCTGTGCAGGGCCACTTATATGCAGATTTTTTTTCGATAAATACATACTACAGCCCTACACAATCCACAGACGGAACTATGGCTACAAAGGCCGACTGTAAAGTGACAACATGGATTTTCAACAGTGCAGGGGGTCAGTGCCCCTAACCCCCCACTGTAATTGACATTTAAAAGTCAGAGGATGGACTTAACAGCAGATTAGGAAAAACTGAAGAGAAAATAAATAAACTGGGCAGGAGGAGGAACATAATTAGTCAAGAAAAGAAGTAGAGCCAATAGGATGTGTGCATAGAGAGAGAGAGACATTTATATTAGGGAATTATGGGAGGCTGACTAGTCTAAAATATGTAGGGCAGACTGACAGCCAAGAGATCCAGGGAGGGGTCCATGTTTCAGTTGAGTCCAAAGGCAGTCTGGAGGCAGAATTATCTCCTTCCCCTGGGGACCTCAGTCTTTTTTCTCTTAAAGCCTTCAGCTGATTGGATGAGACCTGCGCACATTGTCGAGGGTAATCTGTTTCTACTTAAAGTCTACTGATTTAAATGCTAATCTCATGTTTAAAAAACAAAAACAAGAAAGCTTCACAGCAACATTCAGTCTGGTTTTTGATCAAATCTGGGTACTATGGCCTCACCAAGTTGACGCATAAAATTAACCATCACTGGGAGGGTAGAGCTGAAGTGATTATCAAGGATGCAGTACAGAGAAACATAAGAATGGAAACTATAAGAGGCTAATAAATAAGATACATGAGGATAGAGTGAGATGATCTGTTACATGTCTCATCACAGTCTCAGGAGGAGATGTGAGAAAAAAAACGATGAGGCAAAAGCAATATTTGAATATCTGTAAAGATAATGGCTGATGAAAGGCACCACTCGAGAAATTCAAGAATTTCAACAAATTCCTAGCTGGATAAATAAGAAGAAATCACATCAGAGTCAAAGTGCAGGACAACAAAAACAGAGAAGGCAGATTACCTTCCGAGGAAGAACAATTACATTTCTGGATGATTTCTCAGCAGTATTAGAAGCCAAAAAGCGTTCGAATCTCTTCCAAGTACATCAGAAATCTTTGTCAACTTAGAATTGAATAGCCTGCAAAAAATATCTTTCAGGAAAAGGGATAAAATAAAGACAGACAAACAAAGTTGAGGGGTTTTGACATCAAAAACCTTATTTCAGGCAGAAGGAAACCATTCCCAGATGGAAGTTCTGTTATGTAAGAAGAAACAAAGGAAAGAAACTGGTAAATAGGTGAGTAAATCTAAACAGCCATTGGCTTGCATTCAACAATAATAAATAGTCTAGGTTTAAAAAGCAGCTGAAACACAGAGGAGAGCACTTGAAAATGAAGTGTTCGAAGGTCCTCTTGTATTTCAAAGATGAATTTGAGACATGGATCGGTATGTTAAAAACTTCTAGAGTAACCTCATTACTAGAGAAGTGGTTCTTAATTAAAGGAGAGGGCATTTTGTTTCACGGGGGGCATTTGACAATGTCTGGAAACACTTTTGATTGTCCCAGCTGGCACTGAGGGAGTAAAGGCCAGGCTTTGCAATAAATACTTGACATTTATTACCTCTTTTATTTTTTTATGGCCAAACTTCCCGCATGACCCTCTGAAGCCATGTACTGAAACCCAAGGCTGACGGCAGGAGCCACACTAAGTATTCATCCCGGATGCTTGACAAGGCAGTGGCCTGTGGCCTGTGCCCTGCTGGCACCTGGCGTAGATTCTGTGTCCTTGTTGAGTCTCTGGAGCCCAGCTGTGTTGAGGAAGATGTGGGCAACTGGCTGCTGAGGCTGCAAACTTTGCTGCTAAGAAGTGAAAGGGGGAGGCACCGCCCTGGTGAGAAAATGTCCAAAAATTCTGAGACCAGGAAGGGATTCAGCAGGTCATCTTGTGGGCCACCCCAAAAACATTGTAGCAGAAGCATGGGTCCTGTTTGTTTGAAAGGCCCCCTGAGGGAAGCCAGCCTGGGCCAGCCTCCCTGGTCCCCAGCCCTCCCCTTGCCGGCTCCTTGCGGGAGGCGCTCGCTGCACTTCCCCGTGGGGCTCCTGCCCCGCCCCCCGAGACTGGATCCGCCTCCCAGCACCCCGTTCCTTCTCACAGCCGCACCCAGCCTCACCCTGACCAGTCAGTTCCGGCTTTCTGGGGTTGGATTCAAGCATCACTATGTTTGAAAGCTCTCCCAGGTTATTCCCAGTGTGCAGCCAAGGTACAGACCACTACTCTGTCAGAGCAGGTATGAAAGTTCCTAAGTACCTGTTAACCTGCTCCCCCGTCTGTCTCCTAGTTCTCTAGCTGTTAAAGGTGTTACGCTTGCTTTTAATACCCAGCTAACAGGGTCCATCCATCACCCTCTGCTTTTACAAGAAGATCAGAAGTTATTCAGGGTCGTGAGACTCTCTGGGACATATTGTCACGGCACAAACATTTGCCTCCAAGCACTGCTCCAGGCTTCCAAGCTGCTCACCACTGGTCATTTGGGAAACAGTTCTCCCCACTGCTACCCTTGTCTCTGTGCCAGCATCTAACACAGTGCTTAGTACTAGGAAGTGTTGGTGCAAATAACGGATAATAAAAAATGGTAACCTGAAGCCTTCTTGATTTTTTTTTTTGATGGGAGTACCAGGGATTGAACCCAGGACCTCATGCATGCTAGACATCTACCGCTGAGCTAGTCCCCTCTCCACTGAAGCCTGAAACACCTGACAGCTACACCACAGATCAGAGTCATGGACACATGCAGATTACATAGAGCTAATTCTGTTTAACAAAACACTGTAAAACATATGCAAGAGAAAAACAAAATCAGTGAAAACATTCCAGGTAAAAGAAAAAGATTATATTGTATAAGGTCATCCTGACTACTTTTTTTTATTGAAATATAGTCAATTTATGTGTTAATTTCTGGTGTACAGCATAGTGATTCAGTTGTGTGTGTGTGTGTATATATATACACATATATATATATACATAACATATATATAATATTCCGTTTCATATTCTTTTTATTATAGGCTATTACAAGTTATTGAATATAGTTCCCTGTGCTATACAGTAGGACTTTGTTGTTTATCTATTTTATATATAGTAGTTAGTATCTGCTAATCCCAAACTCCCAGTTTATCCCTCCACACTCCTTTCCCCACTAATCTGACTACTTTTAAATTGAGTTGAAGTTGTTTTTTCACTTTCAATTGTATATCAGAAGTTACTCAGAATTTTACAGCATCTCAATTCTAGTCTCTATTTTTAATATTTTTATTTCTTGTGACCAAAATGCAGCCCTTATTTTAGTTAGCAGCAGAAGGGTGAATTAGAAGTCATACCCTCAGTGGCAAACTTTGTTTTAATGTTAAAAGCTGTCTTTGAGCACAAGGACCAATGATGGAATGTTTTTACCAAATGAGTTTTTTAAATTTCACTTTTTGGCTATTTATAAAAGCCTAGTGCTATG